TCAAGCCCTAGAGTCAGTTCTATCATTCTCAATAGTCATTTACATTCAATTTCTAGCCTAAAAAGTTCATCTTCATCAGGTATCATCAAAACATTTCCATCTAACTGTCCTACCATTTACTGATGCCATGGCATAACATTATGCTAATTATCATGCACATGTTCTACAAAGAACACTACCTCCCCAAACTTGAGAGAAGCATTGTCCTCAATGCTGAAAAAACTAAGTTAAACTAGACTACATGCTATGTGATGCGATGCAATTCCATGCAAGGTACCTTGTCTTCCTAAGATGGTGGTGGAGTCGCGCTGGCAGTGCTAGTAGTATTGCGTCTGGTGCACTTCCTCAGTGATGTGGGGCTTTTGTCAGGATCAGAACTGGGTTCAGCAGCTGGTGTGCTAGGGCCTTCAGTGTTCTTAGATGTTGAGGTATCCATACGCCCAACAGATGACTTCAGACGTCATCTAGTCCATGCTGACTGGGTTAGCATCCTCTGGCTTGGGTGTATTGCCTTGCTGAGTGACATTTACAAATGTCGTGTCATCCTCAAATGATGGCAAGATCTCATCCAGAATGACTAAAAGATTATAATCCCAATGTGGGAGCATCTCTTTGTGAACAGGTGCCACGACTGCATCTTGTTAGAGCCTCAATTGCATCTAGCTTGTCGTGGCATATTGGTTTGCAGCAGCCTGTGAAGTTCCATCGTGAGATTTCATCATATTCATCCTTCAAAACACCCTTTGTCCTAAAAAAAATATTTCGTGATTTCATCATATTCATCCTTCAAAACACCCTTTGTCCTAAAAAAATATTAAAATTAAAACTAAAAAAATAAAACAAATAAAAATAAACAAACAAACACTCACGACAAAATAAAACTTCTAAAACATAAATTAAAAAGGGTTCAAGGGATGCAAACTCCACAATATCATGAATTGTTATGGCATTTTTGTCGCGTTCGATTGGAGCACCAGTATAGACCAAATGCTCCACATATATAACAACGCCACCTTTAGTGTAAGTCGATAAAACCCGATTGTAGGACCTTACAGTAGTCCTCTCTTTTTCCTCCCGTGCAGTGGCATCTTTTAATTGCTTGGGCAGCAAAGTCATTCAAGAAGTATGGGTCATCATCCTGCATCAATCTGTTCTTTCCCGCTATTCAAGTACGGAAGCAAAACACCACTAACGAGAAAATTGACATTGTCAGCATACCACAAATGCCGTGGCAAATAATAATTCTCATCAGGGAATTGTTTCTCCATTTATTTCTTAGTGCTTTAACATGGGTACATAATTGGGGTGAGTAAATTCAATGAAATCCACAGGTTCTGATTTCGTACCTGGTCTAGCTATGAGTAAGCTAGATTGACCCGCCTCTTTTGAAATATCCTTAACACAATCTCATAGCTAGGTTCTTCTAGTGTTTCCCCCCCAAACTTAGCATCTTTGTAGATATAGGTGCCACTCCCTGAGGTGAATGTACTAAATTGCTCACTGCCTTTAGCTTAGTGATTTCAGTATCACTAGGAAATATGTCTGGTTGGTATTCTTGTAATGCGTGGCAATTTGATCCACTGCATTTCCAAAGCTCTCAAAGAAAAACTATGACTTTGTAACCATGCCCCTTGACTTTGTAATAATTCTTCTTGACTCTTAATAGATGCATCGTTATCTTGTAATAAAGCCTTTGTAGTTGCCATAAAGTCTTGCATAGTGGCCTCTAGAGAACTTGTATTAAGTGAAGATGTTGTCCTTGATTATGCCATGGCATATTCGTTTGCAAGGCTGGGGGCTCATCTATATACTGCTGCTGAGCGAGATGACTGACATTACAAGCTCATTGATTTTCCCATGAGAAATTGGGATGCTGACTCCATCCATTGAAGCTTCACATAGTTGATGGACTTTTGATTGCTCGCATTCACATTCATGGTGATTGCCTTGGCATAACAGACATGCTAAGCTATCAACCTTCACTTCTTTCACCTCCTTAGAATTTTGCAAATTCTTCAACATATTGGTGATGGTAGAGAGTTGGGCCGACACTGAATCTTCAGCTTCCAACTTGAATGTCCCAGATGCCTTCCTTATAGTTTCAAACCTTGAAGAGGGAAATTGGTAATCATGGTTAGCATTCGATCAAGAATGCCAAAAGCTCTCCGGTGATTGTCAAGCAAAGTGCCATTTGTCGGCATCTAGCATCATCCTCGTGGGTGCATTGGCTCCATTGTAGAACATCACGACTTGAGTCCAGTCGTGGAATCCATGGTTGTACATTTGCGAAGCAATTCTTTGTAGCGATCCCAACACTCATACATTGACTCGTCATCAGCTTGGTGAAAAGATGCTATGGCATTCCTAAGATGGTTGCTCTATTCGGTGGATTATGCCGTAGCAAAATTTTTTGCACAATTCAGTCCAAGACCTTATAGAGCCGGAAGGTAATCCATTGAACCATGCCTGGCATCATCTTTCAAAGAATATGGAAATAACTTCAATTTCACACATCTTCATGCACACTTCTTGTCGAAAAGGAGTCACAGACCTCCAAAAATTCTCGAACATGTTGCCTTGCATCCTCATGAGGAGCACCACCAAACTTTCCAATCAAGTCCAACATGTCGAACATAACTGGTTTGAGCTCGAATTGGGTTGCCTGAATCTGGGAGGTATAATAGCAGGTTGTAGGTATCTAAGGTGGGAGCTAAGTAATCTCTAATAGTTTGTGGTCGAGCAGCATTCCTAGCATTTGGAATGTCGTGGCATTTAGAACTGCAGGATCCTTCACTTGATTTTGAACAACATGAGCCTCAGGTTCTATATGAAATAATGGTTCTTTGGGTCTTTTACGTGTCATGCGACAACGTAACACCTGAAAAAGGTAAACACAAAAACAAGTAACTATGTACAAAGAAAATAAATAAAACAGTGCAACAACTAAACTCAACATCATCAATTGCCAATCCCCGGCAACGCCAAAACTTGTTCGCGTGTTGTGAGTACTATAAAATATAAATAATGTGCAAGTACATAATCGCTCAAGTAATAAAGTGATGAGTGATATCGTCTCCACAGGATTGGAAGGATATTGAGTAAAGTTTATGCACTATTCTAAAGTAATTAAGTATAGCTAATGGTATTCAAATGATTATGTTGAAGCAAATGAAATGTGTATGAGTAACAAAAGGAAATGTCATGGCAAAGGAAAATGGTAAAAAACAGTAAATAAATAGAAAATAAAATAAAAAGAAGATAATCCTCACGTGACAAGCTTTCAATGGAATGAATGGTAGGGATTGATCTAAGGATGCTAAACTTATTTCTCAAGTATATTTAAGTTTTCTGGACTTCACTTACTCGACAGGGCTTTCCTAAAATGTTCTCACAGGAACCTAACAGAATAGGATGCCAAGGCATCTGCTCTCACTCAACGATGTTGGACAGCCTAACCTATTGATAAAGACACCCTTTTTAGTCGTTGAAATCCTATCCTAGTCTTTCGAGATCTAAGGATTAGGTTATAATATTCCTAGGCCGGTTCAAAGCCCCTTGAAATACCATAACCCATTGCTTATGAGGATCTTATCTTGCGTTTCTTCCGAATACTTACAAGTATTTTTAGCTTAGGATTCTTCCGAACACCTAACCTTCATCTAAGAAATTGACATTTCCATGCCTCTTACAAGCCTAGATGGTGAAGCATTCACAAGCAAAGCAAATAAAGAACCAAAATAAACTTAAATATATCATTAAAAATAAAGTTTAAACATCCATTAAACCAACCACCACCAAATAAGTTAGTTCATGGTAGGGTTTGAAATATTCATAGAAAAATCCATAAAATATTCGTTCCAACAACCCACAAATAAAATAAATAAAAATAACAGTAAAGGGAATTGAGAAAGAGCCTTCGACGCGCGCCCGGAGGTCTCTCGGCCACCACGAACCGCCTTAGCTCGCTAGCTCCTCTCGGCACCTAGCTCGCCACTCCTTGAAGTTTTATCAAGTGGAGGAAAACCCAAGGAAGAATAAAGGAAAAGGGAAAAAAAAATATGATTTTTCTGCTACAATATGCGTCTCCTTTCTTCCACACACTCTCTCTTGTGAGGTGTAATATATAATAAAAATATCTAGGGGTAATGATGATGTTGTTGGATATTGTTGGGGTGCAAAATACCCCTCATACCCCTAGAATCACATGTCAAATAAAAAATAAAAATAACAGTAAAGGGAATTGAGAAAGAGCCTTCGACGCGCGCCACCGGAGGTCTCCTCGGCCACCACGAACCGCCTTAGCTCGCTAGCTCCTCTCGGCACCTAGCTCGCCACTCCTGAAGTTTTATCAATGAGGAAAACCCAAGGAAGAAAAAGGAAAAGGGAAAATAAAAATATGATTTTTCTGCTACAATATGCGTCTCCTTTCTTCCACACACTCTCTCTTGTGAGGTGTAATATATAATAAAAATATCTAGGGGTAATGATGATGTTGTTGAATATTGTTGGGTGCAAAATACCCCTCATACCCCTAGAATCACATTGTGCATGAACCTATCCTCCAAGTGTCATGGTCCCCTAGCAGGTTGTTACAACCATCATTTCACGTGCAGAGCCAGCTGTCCACTACAGCTGTATATTTTTATCGTTTTTTTGTGCCAGAATGCCGAGGCATTTCAATCTGCTTTAGCGTGTGATGCCGCGACATTACTTCTCAGCTCGCCTATTTTGCTTGTTGTTTCCTGCACATCACAAAAACCACACCTTCCTCCTCATATAGCACCTTAATAAAATAAAATAACACAACCACGACAAATGCAATTACATGCAGCTACATACATCTAAAATGACTTATATGTACCCTTAACAGCAATACTTAAGTCAAAAGGCCTTAAAAGTAGTCTTTTTACAGAGTTATCAATCAGGCTTCCAAAACAAACAAAAAGAGTTAACTAACTTGCATAATTTAGAAAATGCTAAGAAGCTTAGCAGATCCTCACTGCATAAAGGATGATGGCTTTCTCCTGCAAGGAATCCGGTGTAGCCCTTTTGCCTGATCAAAGACATTAGGTGTTAATACAAGAACAAACAAAAATTAAAAACCAAAACATAAGATTTTAGAACTGATGAAGAAAGAATTTTGGAATGGAAAACTTGAATGTGCAGATATGTACTAGTAAGCAAGAACATTTATTAGCTTGACAGTAACTCCATAATCAGCAAAGTAACGCGAAGATACAAAATGAGTAGAAAATATGATATAGAATGACTTTTTAATCCACGTTCAATCCGTAATTAAGTTTAAAAAGGAAGTAATCAAGATGAATCACGATTAAAGAACGTAGGCAAAATAGTTACTAACAGTACCTTCTATGCTTTCCAAAGGTTTTCCGTGATGTTCTTCCACCTATCGTAAAAATGAACAAATAGAGTTATCACGTGTACAGTCTACATATAATAGACTTGCAAAGATTTTACTTACCCCAGTACTCAACCCTATATTGTTGTTGCTTTGAATTGCAATCACCTCTTCAATCTGCAAAATCTCTGACTCAACGGTGTACACTCGTTCCAATATCTCCGGAGTATTCACAAATCGAACAAATCTTCAAAAACAAAAACAAATAGTATCTCATGACAACTTCAAAGGTAAACAAAGATTCATCCTAGAGCAGTTTCGGTTAACGAACTCGGTATCACAACGGACTCAAATCAACCATCAAACTATCACAGCAGCAAAAGAAAATTGCTCCACATCCTATCTTCATACTATATCAAACAATAAACGCACCAAATAAGCTTAACAACAAACCTTTCTATGGTTCCTTTTGTAAACCAAGTCGCATTGAACCAGGGTCCGGTTGAAGAATAATGGAATAACCCCCTTTCGACATCTGCTCTTGAGCAGTCTTCAAATGGGCAAGATACGGATTAAGCAAACCAGAAGCCACTTTCTCTGTCTTCCATTGGCAGATATCACCGATTCAAACCTGATGAAGGCAAAGCAGAATATATATAAATCTATATCCACAAGATTATACACAACAATACCACATTCTAAATTCACTGCTCGAAACTCCGCTTGCACTCAAGGAACACTACTCGAGCTCGAGTCGGTAAATCACTTAGCTCACTCAAATAGTTCGATTTTACTTCAAGTTTAATACCAAGCATGCTTAATACCTCTACCAAGCTAAGTATTAGTTGCCCATCAAAGAAAAAGCATTACAATGGAAAGTTCAGATAGAAACATAACTGCTTTGGAAAGTGAAAAAAAAGTATTTTTTAAAGAGAGATGGAGGATCCAGAAGACTGCTTTTCCTTGAAGTAGAGGGAAGTGTAGAGCTGAAAGAAAAAAGAAAATTGTTTTCTTTCCTTCAATTTGCCTTTTGGGGAGTAAAAGGAGAGACTGAAGGGGTATAATGGGAATTGAAGTGAAGTTGACGACAAGCATAGGGAATGCGGAACGTAAAGGTGTATACTGTAGTCGTTGATGAAATTATGTTTACGTAAATAGCCTTCTTTTGTTTTTTTGTCAACGGTAAACAATGAATTTTTATATGGTTAAAATACACCCATATGTCACTTAATTATTAGTAAGATTATACATAATTCGTCTAATTTTAAAATGTTACAAATAAATCACTTAATTAATCGATTGCTATAATAAATCATTTCATTGTTAAATATTAGGCGACTTTATGACCTTAAATATTATATTTGTTAAAAAACATTTAACATGCATACCCTATAAACATAGTTATTTAAACCCATGATATAAAGAAGAATAACACTCTTTTTAACCACTAAAGTCACTTGATCGATTCATTTAATGTTTTATTTTATAACCATTTACAAGTTAGTCGTTAAAATAACCAACAAATGCGTGACATATGACATTCATCATCTTCTACGAAAATAATAAAATACAAAAAAAAAATTCGTTTTAGCAATCGAACAATTACAAGTCTTAAAACACTTTTTTGATAATTTATCTATTGGTACATTAATTTGATCCATGTCTCTTCATTATCATTTTTTACGAAATCAATAATCACATGTCCCAACAATTTGTCTAAAAAACACTTCGATCGTCAAATTCATGTGAAAGTTAAATCACGATTAAACTCTAGAAAACTAGTCTCAGACCATCTCAATTTCACTTGTAGTAACGAATCAGGTAAAAAAATTGCATAGAACTTGTAGAACTCATCAATGGAAGATAATGATTTTTTTAACAAATAACCTTAAAATGATTATAGAATGAAATATTATATACCTACTTGGTTAAAAAATTAGGTACCAAAGCAACGAAAGATATAAATTTAAACACTTATTTTTCATTATATGGAATTGTCTTATACACGGATTTTGTAAACTTTGTATTTATACGAATCTATTTATTTTTATGATTTTGAATTTATGATTTTAGTTTTAAAATTTTAAATTCTAACATTTTATATTAAAATGGATAACTTTTAGAATTTAGGGTTTTGAATTCAATGTGAATTTGGATCCATCTTACTTTTGCCTATCCGGTTTACATTTGTTTTGTTTTGATTTGAATCCATTTTACAACTTAACCCGTAAAATTGGTCCAGTAGGTATATGGATTTTTTATTTAGCCTAATAGAGCAAGTAAAAAATTTATTTTAGGATCTATGGTATTTTTTACAGTGACATGTAATTCGTCACGTCGAGATGACGAGTTTTAAAAAAATATTTTTTATTCTAACTTTTTATCTCGATATGATATATTTTAATAAAAAAATTATATTTTATTTTATCACCTCAAGGTGACGAGTTTGAATAAAAATATTTTTTTATTGAAAGTCACTTCGACTTGGCGAGTTCTAATAACACTGTAGATCCCAAATATAAACTGAAATGTCCTAATAGGTTAAATAAAAACATTATCCTTATGGGCCAAAAACCCAACTTAACCCTATTGAATTGGATCCATTATCGGCAAAACGTCGGGTTCTTGGCCCAACAGTACGACTTTGTTTGCTTGGTATTTATAAATTATGTTTAATTTGAATTACAATGAAATCTAATGTAAGGTAAAAAAATTTAAATATAACTAAAAATATATGTTTTTATTATGTTTAAGTAATAAATGATTTAAAAATAAGATTATGCATCTTAATATTATACTTGGAATTGAAACACCCACTAAAAAATCTTACTAAGAATCAATACCTTACAGCCACGAAGATATTGTTTCCCCATAGGCCATAGATGCCTCAAGACTAAAAAATCACCAATTATATATATTATAATAATGGACAACTTTTAATTATTGGTATCGATTACCTATTCCACCTAATCGATAAGTTATTCGTCCAAGACATGACAAGCTTCAATGACTATCGTTCCTTACGAGATTCTTTTTAACAAGGAAGTATAATTAGGGTAGTTCTAATTTTAACTTTAATTATTATTTAGCAATAAATTTGTTTTATTTAAGTAGAATTATGAATATTCGAATATTAATATAAATATTTTTTTAAATAAATCTTATAATATTTTAGTAATGGTAATTTAAAGTTGGATAAACAATAAAACAATTAAGTTTCAATGTGAGACAAAAATAATGTAAGGGCAAAGCTATACAGTAGAATTTTAATTATTTAAAGCCTTCAAGCAACTACCAAAATTATATTTTAATTATATTATAAAATTGAAGGAAATAAGTAATACATGTAATTGAACATTACATGATACGGAAATTGTAAAATATTTAAAAGGTGATATAATGTAAATTGTTAATACAAAAAACATATTTTTAAGAATTATTATAGTTGTCTTCAATTTATAACTATAGTTTTAATACGGTTTTTCAACTTTGAACATTCTAATTTTATTCTTAAATTATTATTCTCATAATTAATCCTTATAATTTTAAACGTTTTAATTTCATCCTCAAACTATATATAAATAGTCCTTATAAGATATATTTATAAACTATTTTTGATCAATACATTCTTACATACGCAGTGCTCAACCCAAAACTTCAAGGGATAACAATAATCTCTTAATCAATGAAGTCACTTAATTCGGTGTATATATATATATATATATATATATATATATATATAAAATCGTGTTCCAAATCAAATCTATAATTGATTGGTGCTTGCTCGGATCCTAGTTTTGCCAATTTTCCTACATGCATAACATAATATACATCCATCATCAAAATATATATATATAATAATAATGTTCAATTTGTTTTATTTTTTTTGAAGTGTCAAATCAAATAAACGAAATTGATTGTCCTTTTAATTTTCATTTTTCAAATGTAAATTATGATATATAAAATAAAATTGTATTTGTATTTAATATATAAATCATAATATGATATTTATAAATAATTTTTGCCTTTCACACCCATGAGGTGGATAATTACATAAACCATAAAACTACCATACATCAATCGAAATAGCACTCCATTCAACCAACAAAATTCCTTCTGGTCGATCTGAAACACAACCTAATTAACAATTTTGTACCATGTTTGCTAACCAAAGAACAACAGGTTACCAATAAGCAAAACAACACAATGACACACAAAAATAGCAAAACAGCAAATTCATCTTGTCACCTATAATCATGAAAAGCTATTACAAAGAGAAAACTTCAACCATGGAAGCATTCAAATATAAAAGACTTTGGACTACGAACAAAATCCAGCACACACGGAAACTTTGATGGCCACAAGAAATTCATCCAAACTCTATCTGCAACAGAACCTTATCAAAAATCTGCTCTACTGTGAATAATTTGCCCTCGAACCGTGATTTGTTTATACTCAGCCAAATATTCCAAATCAAGCCGAAAAACCCAATATGCCATAAAACTCGAACTTTAGTTCTAATTTTCTGTGAAAACCAGTTTTGTAAAAGCTCATTAACGTTCATGGGAAAAACTATATTGACTTCCCACACCTTACACCATCGCTGCCAGATTTCCAAGAAACACCACAATGGAGAAAATACCTCGCTTAACCAATTCCGAAACCACCGGCAATCTTGGTGCATAGCTTTCCACACAAAGGCAGAAATTTAAGCGGAACATACTTAGACCAAACCAGATTCCAAGTTGGATTAGCCTCTTTACCAACTGAATCCAATTTAGTGCAATAATCCTTCGAATTATATTTACCGTCAGACGAACCTGTCCACTTTAACTTGTCCGACCGTTGACCTGAAGGAGCAGCTCTTTCCAGAACTAAATTAAACTCACTCTCCATACATCCAATTCCCAGACGAATAATCCTCTTCTCAACTGAATCTTCCACTCCCAGGCACCACGAACCCAATTCCCTACTCATCAACGTACCAGTTTTTTTAATCGCAATTCCATAAATTCGAGGAAAGGATTCTTTTAAAGAATGTACTTCAGTCCAATAATCTATCCAAAAATCAATTCTGGACCCATACCCATACTACATCTACCTCAGATAAGAACCCATCCTCAAACAAAACTGCCGGGTTATAATGTCACGCAATCCAAGAAGATTTACGATTGTTTACAGCTCTTGGCAGAAGAAATTCTGGACCATAGTTATTCCTCGCAACTATAATCTTTCTCCCAAGCAATCGTTGTCCTCACTAAAGCGCCAAATCCATTTATTCAATAAAGCTCTATTTCTAGACTTTACATCAAAATACCCAAACCTCCATAAGATTGCGGACCACAGACCTTAGTCCACTTGATCCAATGAATCCCTCTATTGGACTTAATATTCCACAGAAATCCAGCTATAAGCGAATTAATCAAATCAGCTATGTATTTCGAATTGAAAATAAGGACATGAAATAGACCGGCAAGTTAACCAAAGCAGCTTTAATCAATGTACTACCCCCAAACAAAAGCA